TCTGCAGTGTTGCGGTCGCTGTACCGGACCGTCGTGGTGAAGAGAGAGCTGAGCAAGGCAGCAAAGCTCTTGATTTACCGGTCAATCTACGTTCCAACCCTTACCTATGGTCATGAGATTTGGGTAATGACCGAAAGAACGAGATCGCGGATACAAGCGGCCGAAATGAGTTTCCTCCGCAGGGTGGCCGGGCGCTCCCTTAGAGATAGGGTGAGGAGCTCGGTCACGCAGGGGGAGCTCGGAGTAGAGCCACTGCTCCTCTACGTCGAAAGGAGCCAGCTGAGGTGGCTCGGGCATCTGTTTTGGATGCCTCCTGGACGCGTCCCTGGGGAGGTGTTCCGGGCGCGTCCCTCCGGGAGGAGGCCTCGGGGAAGACCCAGGGCACGTTGGAGAGACTATGTCTCTCGACTGGCCTGGGAACGCCTGGGGGTCCCCCCGGAAGAGCTGGAGGATGTGTGTGCGGATCGGGAAGTCTGGGCGGCTCTGCTCAGGCTGCTGCCTCCGCGACCCGACCCCGGATAAGCGGGAGAAGATGGATGGATGGATGGATGGATGGATGGATGGAAGTTTTGAGATTTTCTGTTTTTCTCATTGCCAACTCAACCTGTGAACAAAACCTACTTCAACAACATGTTAATCCATCCCTCAGTACTTTTCCATTTCTACATCCTGTCTGTGGCTTTCAGCTCAAAGCCCATGCTGCTCCCGCTGAAGAAGTAAATAAGTAAAAACAGGTCACATATATTTTGTTATGTAATAAGTCAAAATAATACACTAAAGCATCTGGGCACTGTAAGTTTTTTAGCAATGTTGTGCAAATAGAAGTAAAAAATGCATTTGTTAAAGGCCAGTTTTCAGCAGTGGAGTAACACTAATTTACTGGATTGACTGTATTTGAGAAATTGGCTGTAATTAGGATAAAACTACAAAAATAATCTAAATAAACTACAGCATCCATTCTTACGGTAACAACTGAACCCGATGTAGTGTGGTCAAGGTCTATTGCACAGAAAAAAATAGGTTTTCAGTCTGCTTGTTTGTCCTTAAGAATCAATTCATTGTCAGTTTAGTTATTTTAATGATAATTGTCAACAATAAGAAAAAAAATTTAAGGTCTTGTGTACTTACCTGGTGTTTATGTGTGTCTAGCAGGCCCTCCTCAGAAACTCGCCCGTCGTGTCTTCACCAATAGTCGTGAGCGCTGGCGACAACAGAACGTGAATGGGGCTTTTTCCGAGCTCAGAAAACTGATTCCCACGCACCCGCCTGACAAGAAACTCAGCAAGAATGAGATCCTTCGTCTGGCTGTGAAGTACATCAACTTCCTGGTCACTCTGCTCAACGACCAGGCCCAGGACAAGAGCAGGGACTCAGCGGAAGAGGACACTGAGGACGACAGCACTTCAGCTGGGTTGGATGGCAACAAATTGAAGCCACTTTTCCAGCGCGACACTCCCCCTTCGGCCCACTCTGCGCTGCCCGCATCAGCCCGTCCCACCATGGCATTGGCCCGCAGAGACAGAGACTCGACCGACTCAGTCATCGCCCTGGCTAATTCTCCAGCCACGTCCAGTTGCTATGGAGACACGGACAGCGAGGAAAGCTATGGAGCTAAGACCTCATTGGTGACCCATGGCATTCTGGAAAAGGTCAAAGGTCAGATAAGGATGGTGGCAGCCACAAATGATGAGCGGTGACGCCAAAAGACGGCACACAAAAAGGTGTGCAGCCGCTGGGAGTTTAAATATCACACTGATGGACAGGATCCACAACATTACAAAAGTGTCTGAGGAGCCAGTGTGGTTGTGCCTTCGGTCGTCCAGAGCTCCAAGATCAACTCCCAAGTCGCGTGAATAAATAAGACGGATTTTTGGTGGAATTTTGCAGTTTTAACAGTCTCTGTGTCTTTTCCAGTAATGTGCAAACATTGAGTGTGAGGTTGTGTGCTTTATTAAAACACCAAACTGTGCTTTGGGGCAGTCTGAGGAATGACACTTTACAAAATATGCAAACCAATGTCTGTGTTTTACATCCAAATAAGCTCACAAGGATCTTTTATTTTAAAACAAAAAAAACAGGTTCCAAAGGTCAAATTTGATCATCTCTGGATGTATTTTTATAGCTTTAAACTGTTTCTGTGTGTCCAAAAAAAAAAACAACTAATAATCCAACAAATTCAAGGTCTTCAATTTGTCCACTTCAAATAAATGAAAAATCTGTTATTTTGTTCCAGTCTAAATGGGTTCGAAGTTTACATGTAAATAATCAGCGTTGCCTCAGTACAGTTGTGGTGAGTGCCACATGCTTTACTGTGCCTGCAGAAAAATACATGGCATGAATTCATGATCTGAAGTTGCCGTTTTCAATATCCCTGCTGTTCTTTTCTGTCAGAGAAGCAGGGCCTATGGTCCCACCCTGACATTGTGACACACTTGTACCAGACAGAAATAAAGTGTTTTAGTTTGCTGTTCCTTATTTAACATCCTCTTACTGAGTTCCAAAGACCGCTCTTTGTCAGCACGATTTCTCAACACATCCAAATGTTTCACTGCTCTCAGTTTATTGAACATTTACAAATCCTGAAACTATTCGGCAAGTTCAGTGTGAGATGGTCACAATAAATAAATGTTAGATAGAAAAATGCTGCATTATGGATCTTTGATTATGATAGTTGCAAATGCACCTAAATTCTGAACCTTGGTTTTGAACAGTGATATGCACATGAATCATATGACTATATATTCACAACTCACCACAACAAACCTTTCACCACACATTAACCAAAACTCAACGGCATGTTGTTTGTTTGTACTGTTCTCCAGAATGACAGATTGATAATGGTGCTTTTAACAAGGAAGCCATAAAAAAACAACAAGGGAAAAAATAAAAGTTGTGAGTAATGTGACACCAAGAAGCCGGATGTAACTGCTCACTGACATTTATGTGACGATCCCTAGAATGGAAAACAAAACTGTTCCTTTCATCATTACTCCATGAAGTAGTGGAAAAACTAATTTAGAAACAAGTGTATTCAAATCTATTTCAACCTGGTTAGTGCTTTACAAATGACTGACCAGGCTGATGATATAAGAAGTACAATTTGAGACCACAAACACACAGGAGACAAAAACTGTGGTGAATCGATATAAAACCAAAAATATAGTATGTTTTTGCAAAATGCATGCATGCACAAGTAATGAAATGAATATGTTCAAGAGCAAGCACAAGGATTATGTGAAAACAACAAATGTAGGTGTGCGGTTGTGTTTGAGGAAGGTCAGGATGGATGTGGTTAAAGACGGGATTCAGCATGGTGGGGGAAAGTGAAAAGATTGAGGGTGGGTGGTAAGCTACAGCTGCTGCAGTGCTGATGGTGTCTCTCTGCGTGTACGCTCGGCTCGGTCAAGTGGCCAGGAAGTGCCTACAGTTAGTGCTGTCTCATTGATGGCCAACGAGTTTCCTGGAGGAGGGGTGGTGGCGGTGCGTGTGTATGTGTTTTTGATGGGTGTTGGGGGTACCAACTGCTGTGTGGAAGAAAGAGAGACGGGGGGGGGGAGAAAAGAAAGAAAGAAAACAGCCACCAGGATGCTCTGGGAACCCCTACACACCCAGTTTCGGGATCGCACAACAGGAAGAGCTGCTTTCACAACACCGCTATGGCTGCCTCTGCTGTGCCAAGCTGGCCTGTCCCCTCCCTGCTTCACTCTGAAACCACAGAAGGGATTACAGGCTCAGGGAGGGGTCACACATGTTAAAGGAGTAATGTGGTATTGTTTTTCTGTAGAACACAGTTGATTTGTTTGAATTATCGAACAATATTTCAGTTCAGTTGTATTTTTATAGTGCCAATTGACAAGTCGTTTCAAGATGAGGACCAGCACAATTGTAGAACAACAAATCTGAACACTTCCTTCTGAGCATGCAGTCTGGTGACAGCAGAAAGTAAAAATTACCCTTTAACGGGAAGAAATATCCAGCAGAGCCAGGTTCAGGGAGGGCAGTCATCTGTCTTGACCAGTTGGGGTGAGTTTAGGGGAGAGAGAATAAGGTAGCAGACAGAAAATATGCCAACAATGTCTCATCTGCATAATATGCAGCTCAGGTATTATTTTTATAACAGGTGGCTTCATGGTGTTTGCTGCTCCAATCAGGAAAGTATTGCAATCCTCTTCCATGAGTGAGCTTTAGTTTTGTGGTATTGTGCATGCTGGTTCACTGTCAGAGCTTATTGGGACATTTAATGCAACTGAGCGAATCTATCCATTATCTATACACCGCTTAATCCTCACTAGGGTCGCAGGGGGGCTATCCCAGCCGACTTAGGGCGAAGGCAGGGGACATCCTGGACAGGTCGCCAGTCTATCACAGGGCTACACTTAGAGACAGACAACCAAGCACACTCACATTCACACCTACGGACAATTTAGAATCACCAATTAACCTCAACATGTTTTTGGACTGTGGGAGGAAGCCGGAGAACCCGGAGAGAACCCACGCTGCACGGGGAGAACATGCAAACTCCACGCAGAAAGATCCCGGTGCCCCCACTGGGACGCGAACTGGCGACCTTCTTGCTGCGAGGCAATGCAACTGAGTCCTTGAACAAAATTTGTTTCCCCTGCCTTTCCTACAGTTTCCTCATTTTTTTTTATTCACCTGAAGATAATGCAATTTGCATTTTTTTATAGTAAATATTACAATGATGTGCAACACATTCACGAAAATGAAACATAACGGTGATTTAACACTGCCGGGGTGTTAACCTTCTCTCCTCCTGATACTGGAGGCCAAGCAGGGTGATGATGGCCAGCCTGGGACTCTGAGATAATACTGCTGCCTCCACCCCATCTCCTCCAACCCTCTACCGAGCTCCTCTTGCCACGAGAGTCACACCCACTTACACACAGTAATACCAGTAGGTCCACCATATTTCAGCTGTCAAATACAGACTAAACTTGCACGTTCAGTGTGAGATATAATGCTCAAAGGTTTGTGGTCCTAAAGCAGCTTTAGCTTGCTGACGATGAGGCCGCAGCAGAGACAATATCGTGAAAAAAGTAATGAAAAACCATCATCATTATAATGAAATGTGTGTCTTACTTTAACAAGCCCTTGCTGAATTGCTACAACACTCAAAACACAAAAAGATCCAAAGATTTTAAAATGAATATTATTTAATAAAGCATCAGAAATTACAGTCTTAGGAGAACAGGTTAAGAGATTGATGAACTGCACATGCATAACTTACTGAATGAGATCTCAATAAATTTACAGCTCACATTAAGAGATGAAGAGTAAAAATAAACCAATGGCTAATAAAAATGATCATTGCAATCTGTTATTTTCTTACAGAATTTGACATGCAAATGCAAACAGCATATAAGACAAGCTTTTGAATACTTCGAATTTGCTCTATTTAACTCATTTTGTCAAAATGTGGAAATGTATTTTTGTAAATATTGCTAGAAGAGACCCAATATCAACATTATTCTGTGTGGGTAATAGTCACCCTTTCAAAAAAGTCACACTCATCCTTATTTATCAACTGTTAAAATGCCACATGCAAAAAGTGGGAGGAAACAAATTATTCTGAAAGAAGCAGCACATGTGTTTTAAAGATCACCAAGATTTAAAAGTGTTTGCCGCTGTTTTTGAATTTATATCCAGACAGTAGTAATTCACAAGAAATAAATGTTTTTACGTGTTATACTTCTTAAATACAGGCTCCATTCAGTCCTTCATTCAGTTTTCAAAACTTTCTTTCCTTGTTTGACCACTGCGTCAACACTGTTGTTCAATGCTCTGTCAACATTTTGTGCGGCTTCATCGGTCTTTTCTGACGTGTCTTTGTTGCCAAATTTTTGTCTGCCCACCTCAGTTACTGCAGATCCGGCCACTGCCCCAACAGCTCCGCCAATCACGCCCCCCAGAAACACGCCAAGCACCAGACCCAGCAGTGCGCCCCCAATCACTACTTTGGGCACCTGTTTAGCAGTTGTCCCAATTTTCTCCCACACTGAACTCTCAGCCACTATTTTGGCCCCGGCTTTTGCCCCAGAGCCCACTTTTCCCCACACCGGACTCTGTGCCACCTTCTTTGCACCAGCACCAATTCCAGCTCCAACTCTCACTGAATTTTCTGCCACCAGTTTAGCTCCAGTTTTGGCCCCAGAACCTACTTTTCCCCACATAGGACTCTGGGCCAAATTCTTTGCCCCGGCTCCAACCCCAGCTCCGACACGCTTGGAACCGTCTGCCACTAGTTTGGCCCCAGATTTGGCCCCTGAACCAACCTTTTCCCACATTGGACTCGCTGCCGCTGCTTTTACTCCAGATTCTACCCAGGAAGAACCATCCACCACTACCTTGGGAACTCTGTCACCGACTGCTTTGGAGACTTGTCCTGCAGTGGCTCCCACCTTCCCCCACACAGAACTATTAGCCACCATCTTCTGAACATCTTGAACACCACTGCCGACTCTGCCCCACACTGGACTATTTTTCATCTTCTTTGCTCCCTCTCCAACCCACACTGAGCCATCTGCCAGCAGCCTGGGTACCATCTTTGCACTAGACCCCATTCTTTCCATAATGGACTGAAGAAGTGAAGGGGATATGCTAGAAAGCGTAACATTAGGAAGGCTCTCAATATTCATGGTTTTGACACTATTCTCTGCCTCATCCCTTGTTTTCTCAATCTCACCCTCTCTCACTTCCTCTTTTGCTTCGGCCACAGGCTGCATGTGGGAATAGAGCACCCGCCTTTCAGAGCTGAGCTGTCCAACAGCTGCTCTTTCTTGCTCCATCTTTATGCCTCTTCTCTCCCTTGCTATCTCAACCTGTTTCTGCCTCACTCTGTTCTCTGCCTCCTGAAAAGCAGGAGAAGAATAACTATGTCCTCCAGCCTCCCTCACCGTCTGTTCCACCTTCTCTAGCAGTTCCACCACATTCCCCCTCTCCCTCCAACGTCTCCCGGTTTCCATCACATGAAACCTGTCCCCACATTTCTCTACAAGCTTTAACAAATCCCCCCGCTGACTGGCGATGTATGTCTCCACGCTGTCGTTTCCCACCTTCCCGCTTTCCTTCAGTCGGTCTGCATAAGTAAAGAGGAGCATGGTGTATTTCTGGACTGCTTCTGGGCCAAAAACACCCTCCAGGGCTCTGAGTGCCTGCAGCTCTGTCTTTGCAGGTTGGTCTATGGGGACGCACATGAGGAAGGCGTGTGGGCCGGGACTGGACAAAGCAACGCAAGAGGAGATCTGAGCTCGCACCTCCTCTGGAGTGCACTCTGAACTGAACCAGTCGGGGGTATCCACCACTGCCACCTGCAGGTGAGACAGGAGACATGTAGTAAATACAAAGCTGATTCTTGGGGAATCTGCTAGGCTTTATTGTTTCATGACACAAAACAAAAAGAGGGTATCAAAGCTTTAAAATGTTGAGGTTCTGGGGCATGAAACACTTGAAACTAAGGATGCAAATTATATCTTAATAACTTTTCAAACACTAACCTTTCTTCCTTCAACCAGTGCCTTCTTTTTCATGCACTCCTGAGTGATGGCTTTGAGGCTGTCTGGATACGACTCAAACTCCTCCTGCCCCAGTATGTTGTTGCCAGCTGCACTCTTCCCTGATCCAGATCGCCCAAGCAACACCAGACGAAGCTCCGGAGAAGATGAAGAGGACAAGGGAGATGAGGTTGATGAGGAGAACACAGAAGGAGAGGCAGCAAAGGTTGGAGAGGAGTGGGCGGCAGAGGAGGAGAAGATGGACGAATGAGGAGAAGTAGGAGATGCTTCAGGTGATCGCTCCTCAAAGCTGTTGATTCTGTGGTGAACTAAGAAATCATCAGGAGTTAGTTATGTGGAAATTTAGGACATTTAATTACTTTATGCATAGGAGTAAACTGTTGATAATAATGATATCATATGAGACAGTGAGGTCCTGTGACTTACAAGTAGAGATCTTTTTCGGAGTTGATTTAACCTCGTGAATTTGTGAGAGTATAGCTCCCTCTACAGAGACAAAACAGTAAGTAAGATTTCTACTCGTTTCTCTGCTCACTTTCATCTTTTTTGAACTGTTAGACAGAACAAATCTGGGTACAAAAAAGAATGCAGGACCCAGTTATACATTGGCATTCACCTGCATTCAGTTTGAAACTGGGCGTCCTGTTCGTCTGCCTGCTATCCCGCAACTCCGAGTACGACTGCTGCTCCAGTGCTGGAGTTGAATAAAGCCCGTTCGAGACGTTCACTCTTCCCTCCATTTCTTCTCTTTCATCTCTTCTCCTCCTGCTCTCCAAGTAGCTGATGTGCTCCTCGTCCATATCGAGCGTTTCTGTGTTTGGGATGCTTGTAGATATGAAAGTCTTTCTTTTCTCCTCCTTTTGAGCTCTATAATTTTCCATGAGTTCTCGTTTTCGTTCTTTCACCCGTTTTTCCAGGTCTCTCTCCTGGGTTGCTTTTGTGTAGTAAACCCCGTTTTTCTGCACCATGTTGTCCACCTGTTCCACAGAAAAATAATTATGATTTTACCTACAGGCATTTTAAAATTTGACATTGCAATTGAAAATGTGAATATGGGCTCTTTTCCTGAAATTAACTTCAATTGTGGGATTAATTTTTATGTCAGTCAAAGTTAGAGTGCAATTCAGGTGATTATTAATATCCAAACCAGTCCTGACCGCAGCTGGGTGTGAGATTGTGAAATAGGGTGGTGCTGGGAAAAATAGCATGAATGCTCAGGAGTTGTCTCAGAAGGAACAAACAGCTCTAACACAAGCAGAATTGATAAAACTTCCTTATACTTTTAGACAGCATTAACAGTCTGAAACTGAAATCACAAAGTATAAATAAAAACTGAGTGATCTATAGGATCTAAAAACAAACATACCAACATGTATGAGAAAACTTTGCATTCTTACCTTATTAAGCAGCTCCTGGATCTGCTCCCTGTCCTGCCGCTGACGATTATTGATGACATGGTACCTCCCCCCACAACACTCGATCATCTGCCTCAGGCCTGGGTGTTCTTTTCGCAGGTATTCCTGTGGGAAGACAGATTGGTTTGTGCAAATTTAGACATGCCAGTCTCCTGGTTTTATAACTGTACCTGACTTGTCCCAATCTGACTCAGGGAAAGGTGAGAAAACACTGCAAGAATGTCCAAAGGGTGAAAGGTAGAAGCAGCAATCATGCACTAAAATTTTTGTTTTCCAATGTAAACACCAAAAGATGGACAGTTGTTAGGAAACAGGTTCACAAAATCAAAACTGAATTCTTTAGACAGATCGCTTTGATTCTGAATTGTCATTTTAGAAGGGGGTAAGTACTTATTGTGCTTAGTGAGTACACTGATGAGCAGTAAAACATTAAAAAGCAACATTCTATGCTTCTTTTTCAAAGATTGCATGGTGCCAAATTAACATACAAATTGCTTAAATCCTTTATATACATAAATTAATGATGTCATGTCATACCTGTACCTATGTATATTCATTGTGCAACATCTATATATGTGCATGGTGTACATAGTCTTTATTATATCTTCTTTTTTTTAGGCCATATTGAATTTTACATTTTTTGTCCCACCTCATTTGTATCTAGTCACTGTAACATGTAGATTTCCTCAGTATAGGATCAACAAAGTTTATCTTATCTTACATACTAAGAGAGGAGCTGAAACAGAGAGCAGGTATAAGTCTCTAATACCTCCACTGTTCTGCCCATCAAGTAGTCCCCACAGGTCAGCAGGACCAGAGTGTGATCCAGTGCCTCCTCCCCAAACACCTCTGCCAACTCTGCAGGGACACGCCCCTCCATCTGGAAACAACAGGGAGAGAGTGAGCAGAAAAGAAAAACTCACAAGTAGGAATTTAAATGACACATTCACTGCCATCCTATGACATGTTAGACAACATTCATATAGTAAACTAGCTTCATTTTCTTGGCTATACCTTAGAAAACATAAGAATGTGACTTCCATAAACAGATTTTTTTTCTGTACCAGATGCCATCGGTGGATTGTACAAGTTAAAACAAAGCACAGCTGGAGGGGAAAACATAGACTAACCTCTGTGAACTGGCTAACAGGTACCAGCAGCAGAATAGCATGCGGACCTGGTGCTACCAGAGTCATTGCCCGCTCTGTCTCCTTTCTAACATTGTCCTCCATGTTGCCACCATTCCAGTACCATCTTGGTGCTTCCACCAGGGTCACATTCCTGCTCTCAGTGAAGCCCTGTCGTAGCTGGCAGCTCCTAGAGGCATTAGGAGTGACTGCGGATAGCTGGCCCAGGATCGTGTCTGCTGATGACGTCTTTCCACATCCAATGTTCCCCAAAAGAATCAACCTCAGATCTGGGGGTGAGGACCCATAGTAGCTCTCTCTGTAGTGTTCACTCATAGCTGGCATGAAAGAAGAGAAGAAGAAGGGGTCAGATGTATTGTGGTTCTATTTGGTAGCCAAACCGATGTGGTGATGTGAGTTTTGTCAGAGGTTTGTTACATACATAAAACAAAATGCTAATTGAAACAGAAAAGCAGAAGGTTTTACAAACTGGATAGGCCTGACTGTGTAGATTTAATTTTTTAATTATTTTGAGTATTATTTAATTTTACTATTACATTTAATTATGCAATTATATCATTATATAACTGTTATATAGGCAACTTGTAAAACATCACACATAGAATTTGTGATGACTTTTCCTCTTTGTATCTGTAGCATTAGTGTTCTTTTACTGCTGAACACAGAACACCTTCCTCCATGTTCAAACTATCCTTTAACCAGTTATGCATGAGTTAACAAAGAACTTAGGTAATTGATAAAGGTTGTGCTTTCACTTGTTGAAGTTTTTATGTCACTGGAATCTTGTTTCATTTTCTAACCATGTCTCTTTTTTCCTTGTGTACTTGATATGCCACACCTTGCTAGTCCTGTCGAGCTACATTCTGCCTTGTCGTTATACTGACTGATATGCAGTCACAAAACACATCCACCTACAAAAGCACACAAACACAAAGACTGAACATATGGCACTGGAAGTGCAGTTTGACATCACACATCAGTTCAGTATTTCATGATACACAATAAGCACAAAAACTAACTAGAAACTTAAACTAAGCATCAAACTATTACCTAACATAAAGAGTAAAACTTCCTGTGTTTGCTCAAAACTGACATATCACTGAAACCATTTCCCCAGACAGTGCACCACATCAGCAGTCCCCAACCACCGGGCCGCGGGTCATTTGGTACCGGGCCGCACAGAAAGAATAAAAACGTTGTATTGATTTATTTTTATTTCCGGCGGAGTCTGCAGGGTGTTCAATTTTGAAAAATGACAAGCTCATCTTGCCGCCACTTCCGTTTGTGCTTGTTTCCCGCACTTGATTGTCAGTTTACATGCTCGGCCACTAAAAGAAGCTGTCAGTCATAAACAAAAGTCTCAGGAGAGCTTCTTTAGAAAGTGGGAGAGACTCGATACTGAGACAGAAGAAAAAGTAACACATATTAAGCAATAAAAAGTAATTAAGAAATTTTATTTATTCATGAAATTTTTTAATAGAAAAAATTAATTATTTTTTGTTATGTGACCAGTCCGTAGAAAAAATTCTTGCTTAAACCGGTCCGTGGCGCAAAAAAGGTTGCACTACATAACATCCATTGAATCCTTTCAGCATAAACAGCAATATAACCAGAAAACTTGAATGATCGCCTTTAATTAGCAATTAGATGCTACAGCTACTATTGTGATATTAAGATATTACATGTACCTGAAGTCTTGTAAACAGATGAATTATTTAAACAATAAGAAAAGTACTTACTCAAAAGTTTGAGGTCTTTGAAGTTGCATTCATGTAAGGTCTCTGTTTGTTCAGCTGGCACTGAACGGTGTGTCTGATCCAGACAATGTCAGTGCATGTCGGTTCCCAGTCAACTACGAGAGAGCTGCCAGCTCAGGTGAGACTGGCGGTGTGAGGGAGGTGCCTGAGTTACCACTCCCAACTTTGAACACACGGAGACATAACTGTATTTTTTGTTCACAACAGGTTTCTCTGTCTGTGGGCTGCTAAGCATTCCACAATGGGGTGGAGGAGGTATAATCAGGAGCACATGTGAATCATTCTGACTTAGTTTTATTTTCCACACCCATGAAGTGTCAGAACTCATTGATGTCTGTCCTACAGAGTTTATCGTTGCTAAGGATTAGAGCTGGTTTACTGTGCCGAAATATTTTGTTGTCATGCCCTGTCAGGCAGGACAGCATGCTACAGACCAACATGACAAGTTTACAAGACAGAATAAAGCAACGATGAACGTCACTCTGCTTGTGTCTCATTTGGATAAAAACTTTCACAATAGTACTCTTCTTTTCTACAAATTGCAAAAACCCTGACGCACAATCCATCAGTTTTTCAGAGCCTTTCACGTAATCACAGCTGTTAAATGTATTGATTATTAAAGCAGTTATCAATAATAGACCTCATAAATGTCTTACAATAACAGTTCACAAATAATGTCTTAAATGCTGAACTGTGGTAAGATGTGGTTGAAATGATTCTCCCAGCTTATATTTCGCTCGATGAGAGTTAATTTGTCATTTTACTGTGAACACACAAGGAATAAGTACAACCATAAACTATGCAAACATCTTAAACATGTTTTAATCACACATGGCCACTCTTACTGAAAGATGTTGTCAATGAGGCAGTTACACACTTTGAGGAGAATTAAATTAGTGGCTTCTGTGTCAACTTTAATTGTGAAGTTAAACTATTTATCATCTGAGCTTATGTATGTTTTTTCCAGAATTTCTAAATTACTCTCAGGTAAACATGTAATGTTGTGTACTGTGTAAACATTATATTGAAGCATGAATAAAATTGTTATAATATTAAGGTGTTAGCCCCAAAATCATGTGACGACTAAGCTCCACTTTAAACCAACCCACAATTGCTAATGTTTCCCAGTGACCAAAGATGTATGTGCCTCTGTTCAAATGAACAAAAAAAAGTTAGATTATTGAGTGTTCACAAATATATTTTAATTAAATAACTAATGCAAATCATAAAACTTGACAACTAAGCATATATGGTTAACACAAAAAAATCTCTCTAAAAAATAAATTGTGCAAAGTATAGTACCAATATTGTCTTACAACAAAATAAATCTTATTATACTTATTTTCTATGTGTAAACTACCCTAATGTTTTTTTCCAGTATATCATGCCATGTACAGCCAGTGGGGTCTTCTGTCTTCAGTCACAGCCCAGGCATCAAATAAGCAATGTTTTCCAGAGTGGAGGCCTTAAAAAATGTTAATAAACGTATGTGATTCCTCTCAACACACCAAATACTAGAATTAGTCATTTCACTTGTGTGAATACATGTACACACAACAGGATATGAAGTATGTGGTGTGTATGCAGTATTAGGCTGCGGCATTGCTTACCAGTGTGTGTCGTGTGCAGCTCTTCAGCTCAGGTATCTGTGAGGTGAGGCAGATTAGTGGAGCCAGAGCGCACAGCAGAGAGTCCAGGAGGAGAGAGAAGCCACTCGACATACACACCCTTTTCTGCAGAGACACAGAAAGATCTTTACGACCCTTTAATGCAGTGAACATGCTGCATACACTCCAGAGGGTAAGTGAACCATACTCCTCCTGATCCTACAGCCGGTTTGTTGTTAAATTCAAACAATAGGCATGCTTTAGGAGTTGTAAGGAAACTGATTTTTTAGTGCATTTTGGTAATATACAATACTTATATGATTATTTTAACTCAATCCTTTGTCCTCCATGATCCATGAGGCTCTCTGGTATTAAGTTTGATTAATCCTGGCTATGGGGTGCAGTGAGCTGCTGTGTTCACTCATTCACACTTTTCCCACACAGGCATTTGCTGTACGACTGTGCCAGAGGGCAAATTAATGATCAAACAGAGAAGCTAAACAGAACAAGATAAGAAATATGAAATAGTATTCATAAGCAATACTGAGCAGTCACAAGTTAATTTCTGTGTTTAATTTGGGTTAGACGCAAAAACAAATTTTAAAATGATTCATGCAAAAGTACAGTTTTTAGGAAAGCTGCAGGGAGTTTGCACTTTTTGCCCCGACATACACTATAAACCCTAACTTCACCGAAGTTCTGCAACAAAGGTGTAAATGCAAAACCAGGATACCCTACTGAGTCACAGTAGGAATATGGGAATACCAGGCTCAAATAAACCAATATTTTCCATTAAATAGGCATCAAGATCTCTGTTTTTATTTACTCTATATTAAATCTACTCACATTTGTCTCTTGAAGATGGAGTCCAATCAGAGACAAAGATTCGCCCAGGAGGTGCAGGTGAGCTGCAGCACTGACAGGATCCTGGTCAGAGCAGTGAAGATTCCTGGATGTGGGGCTGAAAGTGTTCCAAGCTGAACTGGTTGCACTGCACATAGAACCAGTGAGACTACAGGTCTCAGTCATGAAGCTAGATACCATGGAGCTCACTGTTGTGGCAATGGCTGTCACTGAACTAGGAACAGGTAAAGACAGATGATTCCGCTCTCTGACTGGAAGGACAGAAGGACTGACAGTTCTGTTCATGTGATGGTCTGCCATGTTGTGCTGGTTTTCTACATACAGCCAGTACTCCAACATGGGACTTGGACTTCTCTGGAAGAAACAGAAAGGTAAGAATAATAATAATACGGGGCGTGTCAGGAAAGTTTCAGGACTGGTGTCACAAAAGATATATATTTCAAATCTAAAATACAAGTTTTCCCCTTCAAAGTAATCCCCCTGGAGTCGAACGCACTTTCCCAGCCTTCTCTGCCACGCCGCCATGCACTCCTGGAACGATTCTTCTGGGATCCTCCGCAGCTCCATCATCACAGTCATCTTGATGTCGTCTATGTCTTCAAAACGGGTCCCCTTGATGACCCCCTTTAGGTTGGGGAAGAGTTAAAAAAATCACATGGAGCCAGGTGGAGTGAGTAGGGAGGTTGCTCCAGCACGGCGATGTTCTTCTCAGCCAGGAACTGTCAGACGCTCAGGGCATTGTGAGCAGGCACGTTGTCATGGTGAAGCAGCCACGACTTGTCCTGCCACAACTCTCGCCTCTTCTCGCGCACTGAACGAAGCAAACGCCGCAGGATCTCTTTGTAGACCTGCTGGTTGATGGTCTCAAGGGGAAAACTCGTAGTCTGTGTTTGAAATATATCTTTTGTGACACCAGTCCTGGCACTTTTCTGACACACCTCCTATACTTGGCTACAGATAAAAAGCTATAGATAATTACCTGACAAATGCTGCCCTCTGCTGTGCAACATGAACGCAACAAGTTGCCTTGCATATTCTGGTAAAAACTTTACACAGTTGTCATGAGATGTGAAGGAAAAGGAAGAAATCACTTGAAGTGTACATCAATTCAGAGCAATTACACGTGTTCACAGCTAATGCTTTGTATGGATCGATGACTTTGGGAAAATCAGTCTCCAGACAAAGCTTGTCTGTCCTCTAATGATGATCAAATATGTATTGGTAGTCCTTAAATCCCAATACTTACGGAGTAAATAAAAAATTTGTGTGATGCAGTTCTCTTATATCCTATTCTGTTCTCTCAACTCTTCTCCCCTCATTGCCCATCTTTCTCGTGATACACAGACGAGATGGAACCAGAAGACTCTGCTCCATGAAGTTCACGGTCAGTTGCGATACTATCTACAATTAGATTTGGGCAATTTTACAATGTATAGCACAGAACACAATAAATTTGTCCTAAATCAACACCATCAGTTTAATTTTTTACTGATTAAGCTAAAAACCAACATCTCCACCCAGTTATATTCTTTACATATTATAAATAAATTTTTATCTCTAAAAGTGCACTACACTACATATTTTGATGACATATATAAACTTCAATGCACAGCAATAAGTCGATTTAATGCACATTGACCTCTCTTGCTATAATATAAAAGGTATTTAGTACATATTAATCATAGCTGGATAACAATAATTATGGTAATAGATGATTTTAATCTACTAAAATGTCCTACCTCTACACTTTTACACACAGCAGACACATGTTGAGTTATAATTATTAAATGAAATTGCACTGTCAAACAAGAACATTACAGCATGATCAGCCTAGCAAGAGCATGGCAATCCCACCACTACCCTAAAAACCTACTTCTTAGCTGTATGTTGCATCTTCTTGTTCAGAGAGCTCTTTGGTTCCTTAAAAGGTTAATAATAACCCACCATATTTAAGGAAGTCAAGAAATCTCAATGGAAGACATGCAACAAGTCATTATATAAATCAGTGTTTTGCTCATAAAAACAATGGGATCATGACAAAGTAATAGTCATTTAAAAGATATTTACAATAAGGAGGAAACTGAAGAAAAGTTAACCATAAAATCCATCCATCCATCTATCCATTATCTATACACCGCTTAATCCTCACTAGGGCCGCGGGGGGGCTGGAGCCTATCCCAGCCTACTTAGGGCGAAGGCAGGGGACACCCTGGACATGTCGCCAGTCTATCACAGGGCCACACTTAGAGACAGACAACCATACGCACTCACATTCACACATACGGACAATTTAGAATCACCAATTAACCTCAACATGTTTTTGCACCTTGTGGGAGGAAGCCGGAGAACCCAGAGAGAACCCACGCTGCATGGGGAGAACATGCAAACTCCAAGCAGAAAGATCCCGGTGGCCCAGCAACAGTGCTACCAAGTGCACCACCTTGCAGCCCAACCCTAAAATCATTCATTGAAATTACTGGAGAGCAAGCAAGAAAGGCACCCACACAGTATTAAATGTATTCCAACAATCTTCATAGTTTTATACACAACATATGAATCAGTGGTTACCAAACTGCAGTCTGTGCATATCAATATACACACACAACAATTCCCTTGTAAAAGGTAGCCACAAATTAGCACAGTTCCGAATTTAAATGTCTGCCATGAACAAAAGAATCAACACTGCCACAAAAACAGAAAATAATACATATCAGTGTTGATTGCAGCTAAAACAGAATTGGAAAAACTCTGAGCTAACCACCAGTACAGTCTACCTTGTAAGGCCTTTTAGTTTTGTGTTCCTCAGCATCTGACTCTGCTTGCTCCACGTCCTCTTCAGCCATCAGAAAGTCTTTGTATGACCTTTTGTTTTCTCTCTGGTTGCATCCACTCGCTTTGTCTGCTTCACTGTTCATCTGCACAGATAATGATGGGAGTAACAGTGATTCAGAAAACCGTAACATTAAGGGTAATGTAGTTTGAGTCAAATGAGCTGTAGTTGGGATTGAACTTGTAGCTGTAGTGATTTGCAGATTATGGTTTCATCAACTGCCAGGAAGTTTATCAGCAAATATTTTGATGTCTCAATTGCTTTTGTGCAGAAACGTAGGACTTGCACACAGATCAGGAAAAGGAAGTTAAGACTAAAGCCTGGAGTGTCAATACTTTGTTGTTTTTTTGGCGTTTGTGCCTTTATTTGACAGTGCAGTGAGAGAGAGACAGGAAAGTGGGGGAGAAGAATGGGGGGAGGACGTGTGGGAAAGGGCCATGAGTGGGATTCGAACCCATGACCTCCACATCGGGACTGTAGCCCTGCACATGGGACGTCAACCTGGCGAGCTATAGCGACGCCCCGAGTGTCAATACATTATAGTATATTACAGACAGTGAGAAACTGCAAAAAGTGCACATTTCAGTCTATGTTCGACTTTGCTCAGTGGACACAGCTGCTTGCATGGTGAGTCACCTTGTATGTGGCTAAACTACAGGTGCACCCAATCAATGATCAGCACTTGATTAAACACACATGAAGCCAACTGCTGACAGGACAGTTCATACCAAACACATCAGAGTAAATTCAATTCATAGCATTAACCTGCTATCCTATACTAGCTAATTTATATATGCACATACAAATGTTAGCTGTTACACTTGGAATGGAACCCACTAGACAATACAGTCACAAAAACAGGTCTTCTCCAGTTCATCATTTAAGCCCCTAGGGTGTAGCATTTGAAGGTAGAAGTTATAATCTGTATTCACATAGAAGTAAAATGTGGTTCACATCACCACCACGACGTGGTATCAATATGCAAATACCAAAGAATGCCAAATCCAAATTAAAAGGACTTCCATTTGCAAAATGTGTTGCAAGAGCTAATTTATGATCAGCACAACTTTTATGTTTATTGATTCAGAATCTATTTGAGCTGACTGCTGTGGCAATTGTTGTATTATTATTTTTTTTGTAAGTCTGTACAGTCCTGAAATGTAACCAAAAAGTAATAATTTTAAATCAAGACTTCAGTTTAAACTCCATTTTTTTGATCCAAGTACTCTACTAGTACTAGTGTTTTTTTCCCCCTGACTACAGCAAACAAAGGACAGTTCTTTAAGTTGCAGCTCAACCCTTGTGAAATTCTGAAAAACCAAGCTTTTTTTATTTGTGTTTTGTTTTTTTCAACT